AGAATGGGCAGACTGGTTCGAGATGATAGAAAGACAACAGTAACTCATGTCAATATGGACCAAAATCTCTTTGACTGTTTCCAACACCTTGTTGAATCTATGTCAAGAAGCATTAAGGCAGTACAAGGTGTACCCAATAAAGTGGTCAATGAGTGTATATTATTATTATTATACAGGATTTATATATTGCTAACAGTTTGTGCAGTACTCTACAACATACAAATATAATACAAACAACCATCTACTCAGGTAGGATGATAAGCAGACAGGGGATTTAATCCCTTACCACAATTAAAAACTTAAAAAAACATGTTTTTGGCTTGGATACATTTCAATAGCTGTGAACTATGTTCATAGCACTTTGCCATGATAAACACATTTTCTAGCAATTGAAGATGATAAAACAACAAAAACAAAACTACTTTTATTAGCAGCACATGGGCAATAGTAAGTCAACTTTTTTACCCCAGAGGATCCCTTAAAGTAATTTTCAGGTCTCAGAGAAACCCTGCTAAAATAAATTTATTGTAGGTCATTGGGAAAATATGCTTTACATTGATGGTAATCCTAGACTCCCATTTCAGCCCCAAATCCAATCACTGTCCAAATCTTGCAGACTTCACCTACGTAACATCTCCAAGATACGCCCGTTTTTAACCTCTGAAACCACTAAGCAACTTATTCAATCCATTTTTATCTCCCACCTTGACTATTGTAACTCCCTCCTCATTGGCCTACCTAATCGTAGACTATCCCCTCTTTAGTCTATCATGAATGCTGCTGCCAGACTCATCCCCCTTACTAACCGTTCCATATCTGCCACCCCTCTCTGCCAATCCCTCCACTGGCTTCCCATTGCCTAACAAATACATTTCAAAACATTAACAATAACATATAAAAACAATTAATAACTCTGCCCCAAATTACATCACCAATCTGGTCTCCAAATATCACCCAAATCGTCCTCTCAGCTCCTCCCATGACCTCCAGCTCTCTAGCTCCTTTGACTCCTCTTCCCATGCTCGTCTCCAGGACTTCTCCAGAGCCTCCCGTCCTCTGGAACACTCTATCCCAATGTATCTCTTCAAGGAAGGCTATCCTGCCTTCAGCTAATAACCAAATCTTCTATCAGTTCATCCCACACAGTTATTACCTTTTGTACCACCAGCCCCTCATTCTTCGATTGTAAGCTCCAAGGAGCAACGCCCTCCTAAACCTCTTGTATTGAACTGTATTGTTGCTGTATTGTCTCCCCTTATATTGTAAAGTGCTGAGCAAACTGTTGGCGTTATATAAATCCTGTATAATAATAATAATAATGGTCAATGGAAAGAATGCCACCCTTGCAGATGGCTAAAATGATCATCTCATTGGCTCTGCCAAGTAGCATTAGAACTGGAACAATACAGACACCATCAAATGGGAGATCAATCATTCACAGCTTAAGGAAACCCAATCCACCTCTGTTGATATACTAGAGTTCCATAGAATGCTGATTGGGCTGTTTTAATTTTTCTCCACTCTTTTCAGAGCTAAAGTCTTGAAATTCATAATTTTTTACTGTAACTAAAAATTAATAGTTTCTGCAAGCTACTTTGTTGCCTTTAATATATGCCTTCCGATGACCTAAATGAATCCGCCAGGCTTGCAGTATAAGGAAGAGAGAGAAAAGTCTGTAACAAAATAAAGTGGATTTAGATCCGGGCTCAGGTCTGCACGGGTCACTAAAGTTCACAGTCCAGTAATCTACTTCCTCTACTCCTTCAGATACTATTAAAAGTCAAGTTACACTTGGCTCTGAAATATTCATTTCTGAGGGTTTTTTTCTTCCATTCTTAACTGACACTCTCAACCTCAAGTTGACTGCATTAACCTCTTGTCTAATGCAATATTTAATTATCTTTCCATTTGCAAGTTTAAACCCAGCAGTTATTATCCTGTGGCAGGTATTTTCCAGGTTGAGAAGAGAAGGAGTTTGCAAAGAAGGATCTAAAGATATTAAAGAAACTAGGTCTTATGTATGAAAGAGCAAGAAAATAGAGCCTGTCCTAGCCACATATCTACAGCATGTAGGGGAGTTACCTGTCCTGGTGCCCAAAAATAACTGCATGTTCCCCATTTTCTATTCTGGTGACATTTTCACCTGAAGGATGAGGGAAAATCAGCAATAGTGACAATAGCAACAATAAAAAAACTGTCAATGCTTCTAGTCTGACCCCAATTTTACTTAAAGTGGTAATACACCCAATACCTAGAATATAATATCTTGCAGCTTACAAACAGATGTGGTGGCTGTATTAGTTTTCTTTTTTTTAGCTTTTTTCCCCTTTTGTTTTCACCTGGTGATTTGGCCAGTAACACAACTTCTGTATTAGGGCTTATGTACACAGGGCATTGAGAAAACTCTTCTGAACAATGGAAACTGACTGATGGAAAACGTAGGTTAAAAAACGTCAGTTTAGCCGCGTTTGCATGCTGTGTTTATGTGCGTTTGCGTTTAGAAGTGTTTTTAAAAGATAACCTCAGGAGACCATCCCAGATGGCCAGAATGCACTGAAAAATAGTACATAATTAATTATTTCATACATTTTGAGAGAAATAGAGAGAGCAGAAGCAGAGAGAGCAGTATATGTTGAGATGACCTGTCTTTTCTGGTTGTATTCACTATGGATCCCATCATGAGCATAATGCGGCACGTTCTACCATTTTCTCCTTCACCCGAAACCTGGAACTTACTGCGCTGGTGTACCGGGTCCATTTGTATACATGTAAAAAGCTTTGCATGCATTTCTGATGATGAAAAAAAGGCTCTGGACAGCATCTGGACATGGAACAGTTAACAAATTCTTCTAAACCTAAACGCTTATAAACGTGGTTAACAGCGTTTACAAACGTTTGCCGTTTGAAACGCTGGTAAAATCTACTCCTGAACGCAAGTTTGGTGCGTTCAAAAAAAACGACTGTAAACTCAACTGCCTGTAAACGACTATGTGTACATGGACACATAGGAAAACATAAAGGAGAGTTCAGGGGCTGCTGAAAAAAACGCAGAACAGCTCCTGAACACCCGTTTAGGAGCTGCAGTGTACATGAGCCCTTAGAGTTCCTACACTCCGGATGAAAGAGCACAGGGGGCACCTTTGGACAGCAGCAATGTCAGTCTGGGGGGACGGGAGTGTTAGAGTTACTAGCAGATTTAGATACATTAACACATTGAAGCCAAATTCCAGCTAACACTATAAGCAGTTACAGCAACAGTTGTGTTTATTTTGGGATAAAGGTTTTACATAAATAAATAAAAGCTGATCATTGTAAGCATCCCTGCCAGTGGTAAGTGGTTTGTCTCAACCCTCTAACAGCTATATTTGCAGGACGGCTTGTTGGAAAACAACAAACAACTGGCTGGATCACCAGGTGAAAACAAAGCCTAAAAAGGAAAAAAATACACCCATCACATCTGATAATTAATAAACTGCAATTTAATAAATGTTTGCTTTTGGGCTTAATACTGCTTAAACAAAAACGTTTATATTGCATGCCCAACAGCGTAGTCGGGCCCTGGTAAGGTGAGTATACTGTAAGTGACATGGGGGCTCGTTGCAGAGATACTGTCACTTGCCCTGTATGGCTCCTTAAACTATGAATGCTTAGGGCACGGATGTCAAACTGGTGACCCTCCAGCTGTTGACAAACTACAAGTCCCATGAGGCATTGCAAGATTGACAGTTACAAGCATGACTCCCAAAGGCAGAGGCATGATGGGACTTGTAGTTTCACAACAGCTGGAGGGCCGCCAATTTGACACCCCTGGCTTAGGGGCTTTTTGGTCCTCACAAGCCCCTTGCCCTATACCTGTATTCCTATACCTCGTCTTCCATATGTCTAAACCACATCTCCTGCACTACTCCTAGGTTGTGAGCTCAAAAGAGCAGGGCTCTTGAACCCCTCGTGTTTTGTTTTGTTACTGTATTGTCTCATGTTCTGTCCCCCACTATAATGTACAGCGCTGAGCAAACCTTTTAGCGCTATATAAATACTGTATAATAATAATAATAATATTCAAGTGGTAGTAAACCGTGGATAAAAATTTTAAAAAAATCTTCTCCCTGCAAGTTAAGAGCATAATGTGCTAGTATGAATTGCAAAATAAAGACTTACCTGAAAATAAGCTCTCCAACAGAGAGATGTCATGGCTCCCCAAGGCTTCCATTTCTCTGGGTTCGCAAGCTTTGGCCATCTGATTGGCCAAGCTGCGATGTTGTCACTTCCATGCATGTGCATAGGGAGTTTCAGCCGCGGCACGACTCTCCCAATGGATGGCCTGCTGTCCATTAAGACCACAGTGCGCATGCGGCAGTAACATCCCCGGCGCATCGACAGTATATATCTCCTTAACGGTGCACATTTAGGAGATATTTACAGTACCTACAGGTAAGCCTTATTAAAACCTTACCTCTAGGTAAAAGATGCAAAATAGAGTTTACTTCCACTTTAATCTCTATGCCTTTGCTATGGTAAACAGATGGTTTATTTGTATGGAAATTGACCATAGGTCTTGTAGTTCATACCCCTGTAATTCGAATAAAAAATCAGTTCGATTCCAGCTAAACGGTTTTGGTGGAAAGTAGAAAATGGCACCTGAAATTTGCCTGCTTTGCTCCACACATGCACATTTGTACATTTGTAGAAATATCAGCCTTGTATGAAGCACTCTACATTACTTTTTAACAGCAGGGACAGGGAAATAACACAAAATACCATATAATCAAAACCACTCAATGAAAGTTTTGCATTTAAACTTGTTCAGTGGTCACGGTCTACTTGTGATTCGGCTCTCGTTTACATCCTGGCTTTCATCTTCTGCAGCTGCTTACTCCTCTCACTAAATCCATGTGGCTGCCAATAGACTTGTTTTCTTAAAGTGAACCTCTGGTTTGCCAATTCAAATGAAAGAAACATGTTTGCTTGGTAGCCTGCACCCTCTGCAACTAATAATTACCCTTTATGTCAAGGGTGTCAAACTGGCGGCCCTCCAGCTGTTGCCAAACTACAAATCCCATGAGGCATTGCAAGGCTGACAGATACAAGCATGACTCCCAAAGGCAGAGGCATGATGGGACTTGTAGTTTTGCAACAGCTGGAGGGCGGCCAGTTTGACACCCTTGCTTTAGGTGCTCTGCCATCACAGACTGTTCTACTAAGGTATATTATGCGATGCAGGAGAGAAAGTATTTGTAGCTACAGGGGCAGGCTATCAAACTGTCTTAAAGCGGAACTAAACTCTCTCAATCAACATTAACTAATTTTAATCCTAATGCTGCAAACATTAATAAATTAATAGGAATGTATATTTACTTGTTTTATACTTTTCTTTACATTTCTTCAGTTGCTTCTTAATTTTTGGCCTAGTCCAAAATGATGTCACGCATTCCAGGAGTCTTCATTGGCATTTTTCTTTTCTTTCATCTGGATAAGGGGAGAAGGGGCTTTCTTAGCTAAGCACACCCTCCTGCCTGCATGCCTGAGTTAAGGGTAGTTGTATTCCACAGATGCTATATCTGCCCTTACTCAAGATGGCTATGGCTATAAATGCTAGGGGGGTTTTTTTTTAAAGTGATTTCTCAATTAAATAAAACATGGAGACATGGATGAATGGGGGAGTTTGTTTTGACTATTAAAAATTCCTTAAACAACATTTTCAGTTTATGGTGATCAGATACAGTTGAGGTCTGCTTTAACTAAGCAGGTTCACTTTAATTTACTTGAAAATGAAGGTCAAGGTGTTTTATGATTTCAGGTCTGCCAGTATATCTGATATATGACAAGTTTCCTCAGAGCTCTATGGGTTAGCTATAGAGACTGCTGACAAAACCCCTCTGCGCAGCTATTCAATGGGACGATCAGTGTGCTGCTGTTTCTCCTCACTGAGCTCCTTATGTAACTGAGAACAGGGGGTATGTGATCACTTATAAAAGAGGAACAAAGGTATTTATATTGTTTTTATATCTATACACAAAAGTTTTGTCTTTCATTTCTATTTTGGAATGAATGGGTTGTTTTGCAAGGGAATTGTTTACATATGACAAAAAAAATCAAAAGAAAAGGGTAGCGCAAATTAAGCAAACATATTGTTGTGACAATGATACATAAACCAAAAAATGTGCAAATATTCATAACAAAATAATATATAAATGCTCAAATATTCAATAAATAACTCAAATAAAATTGTCTCTAATATCCTTCAATTCAAAAGCTTCATAATTGTTGAAAATCCACCACCAATTGTGCAAGACTCTATCACCAATAGAATTAAATAAACTCACCAGAGCAAATTGCTAGTAAAATTATAAACTAGCAAATCACATGTTGGCTCTGGGAGTGATGGTCTGCAGACTGATGACCGGCAACAGAAGATGTTTCTTATAACGTACGGATCTTCATATAACATATACGCTCAAAAGGAAGAGAACAGAGCAGGAAATAGTGTGACACTGTATAGCAGATTTTTATTAAAAGCTTGTTTTATCCAAACAACTCACATTTTCAAGTGTCATAAGCCGACACTAGCATAGACCGCAAAAAAACACATAAAACCGCTTCAAAAGCTGGAGACGCCGGCAGCTTGCAGGACGTGGTGACAGCTCCACCCTGGAGCTTCAGAATGATGTCACCACGTTCTGCAAGCTGCCGGCGTCTCCAGCTTTTGAAGCGGTTTTATGAGTTTTTTTGATTGATTATTAAATGATTATTTAATGTAAACTAATTGTAAAGTTTATTTCAAGGTGGTACTTGGTTCCCTCGTGTCATTTATCCAGGCAAGTCACCCATGTTTGTTCGTGACTATGTAATGAGCAGGAACCATGCTTCGCGTGTGGTGGTCATTTCTCAAGGTGGCAACATTTTGGAACAAAAATAAATGATCTCTTATACACAGTGCCAGTTTTATAAGGGGACAAAAGGAGCAATTCTCCTGCCTGAGGGGGCCCCAGACTTCCTTTATAAAGAAATAAAATGTATATTTCCTGAAGACTTCAGCAGTGTGTTTGTTGAGGAAATTGTCCAGTTTGCAGCCTTTGCCAAGCTCCGGACATGTCTCACCCTATCTCAACAGGCAGTCTTATTACATGATGACGGGCTTGCTGATACCTTTCCAGGTGTTAATGTAGCTCTTAGAATATAATTGAGCATGATGGTCACTAGTTGTTCAGAAGCAAGGTCATTAAGCAAATTGACACTGATAAAGAATTATCTGAGAACCACGATGACCCATGAAAGACTAAGTGCTCTGTGCTTACTGGCTGTTAAGAGCAGTGTCCTGAAGATGATACAGTTTGATGAGTTAGTTAAAGATTTTGCAAAAGCTAAGTGCAGGAAGAAAGACTTTTTGTAAATATTTTAGTGTGATAAATACCTGTGATGTATGACTTGCCAGTTCCAATTACATGTGTAATCTGTATTCTTACAGTCAATAAAATTAAGGAACAAAATCAGACAAGTGTCTTCTTCGGAACCTAACCTATATTTCAGTTCACTTTTTTGTCATATAATTTATTTTCTATGGTAAGGGTCTGCTGAACGTGAAGTGTCCCAAAGAACCAAAGGACTATACAAGGTCTTGGACCTTAAAATAAAAATGGATCCACATGTGTCCTTTTTCTGTATACAACCTCCCTAAACAATCACAACACTCTATAGAATATCAATAGCAGTATTCTGAAAGACATTTTAAATTTCCATGACTACAACCAAGATTAAAATTTCATGGATCACGTAGCTCATGAAAAATTAGCCAGCATTGTAAATGATAAGAAAGAAATATTTGATAAAGTCTAGAATTCCTGGATCCACTTCTTAAATTCACAATGTAATTCTTCATAAGTTCTTTTACAATTGCTATTGAATCCTGATACTTAAGGGGCTCTCCCTTCCTTTATCTTCTTTTCTCTTTCTTTTCCCTCTTCATATTATTATTCTACATTTACATAGACACTATGCTGTATATCTGTACTTACAAGATGAAAAATTAATATGATAAAATGAACTATACTTCTCTATATTTTATATCTTTCACCAGTCTCTGTATCGGCAATAATTTTAACATGAAATACTTTTTTTTAAATTAATGCATAGCCAGTCTTTTTTATATTTCCTTCAGTTCCACTGTAATACAAGTTTCTGCCACGAACATATTATATTTCTCACGGTAACAAATTGGAAAATGCTTAGGATGTAAAATATAAAAGACAGACGTGTATCAAAGCTGAAGAGACAAGGTTTTTTTTATCTACAAGAGAAAATCTCACATTCCATCAATCTACTTTGTCCTCAGTGTCTGCTAAATCCTCAGATGCTTGTTGTGAACTTTCCTGTTAAGATGTGAAAACTGACTGATCTCCCAAAATGTTCAATAAAATAATTTCGTTTCAGCAAACACTAGATCAAATGTAGCTACATTCAAAGGGAACGATATTTTAATACCTTAGTCCGGCATGCTATCTCAGTAGCAATATACGTGTTATTATGAAGCCATTTATTCACTGAGAATTCCTTTTTGGTGTGCTCGCACACACACTTTCATATTCCTTCCTAAGTCTGTTGTGAGGTTACAGAGTCACAGCTCATACGAAACACACACTAGTAACACATATGAAACGCTTAAACCACCTGCCAAGTACTGTGAGCTATGCACAATGAGATAAAAAGAAAAGAAAAAAATAGTTCATCCAACAGAAGGTCTAGTAGAATTTCAAATATTTCAAATCTCCTAACATGTAAAATGCACAACATATTAAAAGAGATACTCTAGGCAAATATGAAAATATTTAGACTTCAGCTAGAACTTGGGGAAGAAATATATCAGGTTTTTATGATTGTCTGTGTCATGAAGAAAAGATTTACCCTTACTTTTCACCCTATTACCCTGGAATATGGACATCAGTACAAAAATCTAAGGTTCAAATCTTATTCATATTGCTGTCTGTGTTTCCAATGGAGAGATTTAAGCTGGCCATGCATGGATCGGAATTCAGCCGGTTAAGCAGGAACCGGTCAAACTTCAATCCATGTATGGCCACTGTGGTTGAACAGAAGTCAATCTACTGATCAAACTCTGTTCAACCACCCTAGCGAATAAAAGCTGCTGGATCAGCCCCGCTGGCAATAGGCTACAGTGCTGATATGTGTATTAACACCACAGTGTAGTCCCCCCCGCTGTGCGCATACAATAGCACTGAGGGAAGGATTCCCCCATCCTCCACAAATGTTGATTGACAAAACTGACCCATGTATGGCCAGTCTTTTTCTCACTTTCCATCTTAGTGACCACGCAGGAGGTGACATGAAATCTACCCAACAAGGGCACAGGCAGCAATACATTATTGTCAGGGTTCTAACTCTTCCTGAGCTATACGAAATTAAATGAATAGAAAATTTTTCAAGTGGGCCTTTACTCCCCAGATCCACTTTCGCTCCCTGCCTCCCTACTTTATAAATTGTGGATTTATTCATCCATGGAAGCTGAAGGAGCAAGGACTTAAAGCGGCCATTGGGCAGACCTAGTCTTGTGTCATCGGAGGTCAGCTGCAGAACCCAGAAAAGACAGCCAGCCTCTGATGGTGTCAAAGAGGAAGATGGTGGCGCAGAAGAAGAGGGCTGAGGCAGTGGATCACAGAAAGAAAATGCTGGATTCAGCAGGTGAATATGTATTCTGGCAAGAACCTAGCATAACTTGTGAGAGAGAGGAAAAAAGCAGAAGGGGGTAAAGTAGCTCTTTAAGCTTTTTTAAATTTTTACTTTAACATGGAATACACACAGTATCTACTAAATGTTTCTAGCTGTTAGTTTTGTATTAACCTTTAAAATGTGACTGGCTCATTCTTGAGATCACTACTTTTTGCTACTTGTGTTCTTATCAACTGATTGGCCTTGAATGTGACCCTGGAAAAACAGCAGGCCCATTTTGCTTTCTGATTCCTGGCACAGCCTTCTTTGCGGTAACAGGTTAAATCAAGAAAAGCAGATGTTCACCAAGGAGCTTCAACTGGCGAGTGAGCAAATGAACTACCAAATGAAAATGCCCTATTTATATTGAGTAGTGTGGCACACAGCCTTATTATTATACAGGATTTATATAGCGCC